ATGCTGGTGTGTGTGTCGTGTGTGCTGTGTGTGATATGGTGTGTGGCACTGTGTGTAATTGTGTGTGTGTGTGGTGTGCTTTGTGTTAGACTGTGTTCGTTATTTGGGTGGATTTGTCTTGCGTTGTGAAGACGCATCTTGCGCGCCGCAGAGTGAGTGAGACTGTCATGCTATTGTCGTGCACGTGGCAATATGTCGTGAAATATACCGGTAGCAAGCGAGAAGGCGAGAGTACGATGATCGCGTGACTAGAAAGTAATTCAATACATGACTTGAAACAGCGAGAGAAAGACCCGAAGTCGGGACTATCTAGAAGCTATTGGGCCCTCATCGCTCCGTGGAGCCATAACGATTAAGATACAATGCATCGCATTGACACTTTATAATCTAGAATCTAGAACCACATTTGTAAACCGGCTCGAACTGTTAAGCGCGATTCAATATTTTGACATCTGTCGATGACTATAGACTGACAAATTGTTTGAACTATCTGTCGACTTAGTCTACTGTTATAGCTACAGGAGCGATTGTATAGCGGTTCAGTTTTCGAGCCACGAGGAATACTTCGTTTGTATGTAGCCGGGCCACGAAATGAATTACATGTGGTTAGCAGAGTCTAATATAGAGACAACAAGCTTCTTTCTCGTCCGTCTTCTCTCTTGGCACCCCGCTCGTACATTAATCAACATTATTTCCTCTTCTCCCGTCTCTCTTCTCTTCTTTCTCGCGCGCCGGCACCGCGAATCTACCTCTATCATATCTCCTTTCTCACTCCCCTTTCCTCCTCCCATTACCCCACTCGCATTTCCTCGTCATTATGGTACGCGCCCGAGGTTTACTATTTGGGAACAGTCTTCCGTACGACTAAAATTTCTGTGTGGACAAGTTTCCTCGTGATCACTTTTACGGATCTTGTTCGTCTACTACATCGGACAGGGGTCGACGAGTCGAGTATTAAAGTGTATGCGCATGTAGCTTCGTTTTAATTAACTATTCCCAAATCACATTCACGGCTATATTAACCGATAGCCGATATTACGAATATAATTAGGCAGTTACACATCGCTTATTGCTGGACTATATTACTTGGCCGTTATTGCCCGCACGCACGATAAATTGGAATGTCAAATAGAACGTATGTGTCGCGTTAGGTTCGCCGCAACTGCAATTACATTACAACGAATGGGTTACGATACGGAAGTGTGAGAGTGCGTGCAGCCCGCGCGTCGTAATAGTTCGCGTGCGGTGCTTGTGCGTGCGGCAAGTGCATATGACACGCGATGCAAGCCCGCGTCTCTACGAGCAACAAACGATGAGATTGACCATCGAAAATATGCGTTAACACGAGTCAACTGTTGAGCATCATCAACGTCCGGCCGGACAGCTCATAACAGAAGCAATGACTCAGCCAAACGTCAAAGAAGTCTGTGCTTTCAGTCGATGAGCTGTTTTTTATATGAAATTAATCGACGATATTTATTTGTAGGTCTTAACATGCGGGAACCAGCTCCTTTCGATCAGCGTGAAGTCGAGTGTCTCGCCCGCGTCGTAATTAAGCGTGGAAGATGGGAATTTCTTCTGATTTTTTCGGACACCCCAGGGATCCAGGAATAACTACGACCCACAGAACCTTGAACAAGCATATGTAAGAGCTTGCACTGTTGCAAGGGACATACAACTTAATAATCCAGCCAAGGGGGGGATACTGGGACGTTCGAGGTGTGGTCAAATCGGGCCACGTCCGTTATCCTGTTTTTTAACAGACCGATGGATAACATCCCGATCATCCAAGAAGGATATCGTCAACCGATTGCTTTACTTTGATAGGTCTACAAGTTATAACACGCCAGCCAATATAACGTTTTACGGTAACGTACTAGTGTTTAACTCTATGAGGGCAACGAGATTACAATACGTTAGGCAGAACTATCAGGATTTAAGCTAGTTAATTATTAATGAGTATTACAAACAATCCAGCATGTTCCGGAAGTTGCGGTTATATCAAACCGCATTGCTCATGCATCACATCAGTTGTCAGTTTTAATCAATATTCAACATAGCAAGAAGGTCACGGACTTCACTATCTTTCGAATAGTGATTATCTGTGCGATGTACCATACAATGCACGCTACGAAGTCATCTGTATCTATCCCATATCTCTATGAATATAGTACTATTCGGTATAGTTACATTCTACGTATCCGGAACAACGCCGAAGTAACATATGTATGTTTCTCTGATTTCACACAGAATTTTATTTTAAGATACAATAGACTAAGAGAGTGAGCCCTAATATCGCGCCTGAGATCTGTACTTGATTATGCACAGAGACACTGCTGAAGTGATTTTCACGGGCGATATAGCACTTACAATGTGCGAGCGTGCATGACTCAGCTAATATAGAAGTAAAATACTACTAGATCGATAATATTTGTAACCAGTGCTTACAGAGCTTTGCATTATATATCTTATACATAAATATAATATATATATATATATATATAAATATATAAATTGACACTATATATAGCTAACTAATATTATTATAGACTTATATGCACATCATTCATAGTTATAATGCTTATTCGGTTGCCAATTTTATTAGTAGGGGGGCATTCACACCTCTCTGGGACATTTGGTGATTTTAGATAGACAGGAATTAGTAGAATCAACGCTATAATGCAGAAAGGAAAACACACGATTACGGCGATGTAGACAAACTAAGACAGATCGATGAAGCGAAGACGGTCACCGAACATAGTTCTTCATTACGATCCGGAACCACTTGAACGTACTGATAATAGAGCAAACAGGAGCTCAATACCAGAGGGAGCGCTATTGTACAGCTCCGGTCCGCAGGCACGGAGCGAAATTTTATTTTTCTGTCCGATTGAGTTCCGGACGCCACCATAGATGTGTTTTGTAATTATATGGTTGTTATATTATGGTTGGAATTTTTATAGTTATTAGGTTTAGGGGTTTGGTGTATAGGGTAGGGTTAGCGCGTAGTTAGGTATTCATTTCTAACATTGATCCTGCTTCGAGGAAGTCACGTCCGGTGAATGGAGTGCGCTGAATTTGCACGCACGCACGCACGCACGCACCCACACACACACAAACACACCCCCCCCCCACACACACACACACACACACACACACACACACACAGAGAGAGACGAGCGCGCGTGCGCGTTTTCCTAGACAGTGTCTCTCATCGCCTCAGCCTCCCCACCCATACTATATCGTGCGAAAAAAGCTCGCCTCGCTCTCGCTCTCCCGCGCCACCCTCGCAGTCGACACTCTTACACAAATAAAACCCGAGGCTATCCGGTAGCAACATGTGTGAATGGCTGACGGTGCCGAGATATAGCAGGAGGAACACTTCCACCATAATAGACGCTGCGTCGTCGTGAGGTGTTAGCGGGTGTGATCGGGGGAGGAGCGGGGTACCACGGAGTTTGAGCAGAGGAACGTGTGCCCCCCCCTCCCCATTGTACGGCACACAATCGCACACAAAACTATACAGTCTCTTTATTCAGCAGCGGCGCGCACGTACGCACAGCCTATGCTGGCACGCATGAAGGAAGACTTCGGCATGCTGAGAAACATATCACCGTCTAGAATCGATGTTATGGTATTACTGTACGGAATATTATGATAGCATCGGGTTGCGGTGAGTAAAACATACATTAGCTTGTCCAAACATAAATAAAGTACTTCGCGGGCCTGTGCGATGTAGGAAAGAATATAGACGATGACCTCCTTGTATCATCGTGGCATATATTTGATATTGCGTAATTTCAGTGCAATCGGGCAATTTAATCTTATGGCCCGAAGTCATAGTCATTGTGCCGGTTCGCGTTGAGAGTTGCCAACACATTTCAAGCTTTTGATTTCATCTCGCTCGATGGAATACGACCCCGCCTACATAAGAATCATCGCTGATTAAGACCGATTCAGTCGGAGTTACATCTATGCGCAGCCGGCAGCTGAATTCGGTTAATTACGTATTCAATTAGGTGATTACGGAGGTTGGTCGGCGTCACCACACTGCGCATGCGCCGTGCGTGTTTTTTCTTTTACATCCAACCCGCTCAAGTAAAGCTGTCCTCGCATGTGGTCGCTTCTGCTGGGGCTCTATGCGTGCTTCCAGAGCATGTACATCTATAGTATACGCGTCTATCGTGTATGCTTTGCATGCTACGCTGCCCTAACTCACTGATTAGCACGAGCCGGTGGGCAGCCGCTGCTTCTTTCACGCGCGACACTGGGATAAGACTTAGATGTGGGACAATAGCATCCGTACCCATCCCCCTAAACCCTAATCCGCTTCTCGTGTCTTTGTCCTCGATAGCATTCGTTTGTGAGGTGGGGGGGGGAAGAATAGGTACAGCCTTTGCGTGCGAGTTCATGGGGCTGTTTGCAAAGAGATGCTCGAGACTGTGTGGCCTTAACCCGTGCGATGTGTACATTGATGCACCGATTGAAGAACAAGGCGATAGGCTCCATTTAGATACAGGTAATCTGTACGGAATGGTGCTCTCTGGGTGACCCCACGCCGCAGTATGTGTATTAAACGTTCATCGATCATATAAATATTAGTTGATATAGCATTTTCTAGACGGTTAGGAATTGGTTCAGGTTTTTTTTACATTTAATAGAATATTTTGATTTATTATCAGGTCTATGAGAGCTCATTACAAGTATGCTATATAATTATTATTATTATTATTATTATTATTATTATTTATACTATTATTATTATTCAGTAGTTTTTATTGTGTCCTTATTCTTAAAACTGTCCCGCGTTTTTATCCCGTATGACGTGATTATTTATCTGGTACTAGAACCTTTCGACTTCTTACTTTGCGTAATTTACACGTAACCTTCGCGTGAAACTTGCCCAATGTTATCACAGGTGTCTTAATCATACGCGTGACAGCCAGGTAACCTAGCTGTCCCGGCCCTCATTAAAGCTTGCAAGCTCGCGTTCGCGGCGCCCACCGCTGCGCTTATATTCACGACTGACTCTCCTTGGGTAATCCTTGGGGCCCCGAGAGCTGCGTCTGGTGAGATGAATGAAGGGTTAAATCACTGAATCATTTTCAGGCGAGTGAGTGGGCGGGCCTGGTAATAAATGAGTCACGTTATGCAACAGTGACACACGGTCCCACGGCTCTCTAAAGCGCTAAACTATATGAATCTTTCGCATGAATATCTCGTACAGGCGTAGATGTAATGGCGGATAAAGCCGCTGTAGCACCCCCCCCCCCCCACACACACACACCCGCCATTTATTTCATCCAGCTACAATCCTGCATTTAGAATGCTAAGCTCGCCTATACGTCTGCGTACGTATAGTGCTTAGTATATTATAGCTACGTATATACACAGTATAGTTGTTATAAACTTGCTTCGCTATATTATTATGCAAATGTTATCCATTTCCGCCGTCCTTGGTATGGTGTTTTGTCCGCGACTTAGAGTTAAATACGAATGACAATGATTGAAACTATGAGACTATAGACTATTATAGACGGCGTAATCCTGTATACAATCTTACAATCTTGATTCAAGTGCCATTTAAGATGCGTTTCTATTGAATACAAGCGTGCATGTGCGCGTGCGCGTGTGTGCGTGTGCGTGTGGGTGTGTGTGCGTGTGCGTGCGTGCGTGCGTGCGTGCGTGTGTGTATGTATGTGTGTAGGCAGACAGACAGGCAGTCTGAGAGAGGAGTGAAGTGAAAATAACAAGGGTACTCAGAACGGGGGGGGGGTAAAGTGCCACAAACCAGAACCATATACTAAAGGTCGATCCAGTGTTTGATGAAAGACACACCGCAGACTGCTCCACAATTTATGTGTATATATTATAGTGCAGCGCTAATCTGTGGGAAGCAATTGGTGTGCAGTAAACACTAAACACTACATAAGCACCCACGCGCACAGACAGACAAACACACACGCACGCACTATTATAATATATCCACACATATATATATACTTCAACATCACTAAGCCTGCTTTGTTCGTAAGCTGTATCTTTCCTCACATCACACATGTTCGGTCTAGTTTAATTGCTCTCCAATAGTTATCCTTACTTTCCTACGAGTTACCGGCTCGATTTAGAAATAGTAATTGGTTTAAATACGAGGACAATTTCGATTCGTGTTGATCAGTTTTATTATATTACTTGCGTTTATTCTATATAGGAGACACGGTGTTTTGCCAGAGATGAAGGGACGATACAGATGGGGTCGAGGCCCGCAGTTCCTGGTGGCTTGCATGGGTCTCGTTGCAAACTCTGTCACACTGGTCAACTTTCCGCAGGGCATCGTACAGTTTGGCTTCTGTGAGTATAAAAATAATCTTGTTTATTAAGTTAACTTTATTTTGAGATCGCCATATTGCTATAATTGGAAACACGCCTGATGCGTGTGCGTGCGTACGTGCGTGTCTGTGTTTGGGTATGTATGTGTCTGTGTGTGTGTTCATGCACACACACGCACATGTCTACGTGTGTGCGCGCATGTATGTGCGGACGTGCGCGCATGCGTGCCTGCGCGTACGTCTGAATGTGCGTGTGCGTGTGCGTGCGCGTGTGTGTGTATGTATGTACGTACGCGAGTGTGTTATTTTGTGAGGACTTGATGGTGCGCATGAAACTTAGAGACTTACGTGGGCTTTAGTGGGGAGGGGGCGATATGATAACACTGGCGATAAGGGGGGGGGGAATGTTTGGGTATGTACCGACTGTTACGGCAACAAGCTATCTGGGGAGTGCACGAGTGTTTGAATGGCAGGCGTTTCTGTACTATATATGCTATACTATTACCCAACATGCTGTATTATTAGCCAGTGTGTATATGCGCACACTGTTCAACACCACAGTCTGTCAGCAAAAACCAAATTAGCTACATCCCCAGAGCGAATGAGATCGTATTTCAGGACCACCCTTTGCACTCGTAAGAACGGGTTAATCTATAAGAACCCCAGTACATAACTTGTCTAACGCAGTGCGCACATACCTTTTGCCTCTCATAATATGCCTACATATACGAAAACCCAGTCTTATTCACAGCGTGTGCCTTTTACCTATATACACCATTACCTTAACCGAGATGCTGCGTGCTTATATACTCTTACATACACAAGCACCTAATCTAACAACACGCATTGCGTACGTTAGTCATACACACAGATACGAATATGTACTCATTATCAACCATAACGATCCCCGAGTGCCCTTTTTCGCAGCAAATGCGATTGATCCAAGGCAACCACCGATCCACGGCACACCCCCTGCATGGACGCGTAGTGGGCGTCAAATGTTGTGCACGTTTACGCAGAATTAAACACGCTATTATGACAGACTCCGCCGGAATGCTCGCGGCCGCTTCAGCAAACGTTTACTCTACGGTCGGACGCTGACGTGCATGACTGTTGTATTACGATAAATAGAACAACTGTTAGAACGGCGCTTCTGACAAACATTCATCTGCTATTTGAGCTGGAGAATTGAATAGATAGATATAGAACTGGATACGTGTTGATACACACATAGAGCACGCGTATGTTGACACGCGTGTACGTCAGTAATGGATATATGGCGAAATGCTATATAATACTGGAGATAAAACAAAAAATATAGCGCTTAAATGATTGCATTTAATATTACATATTTGAGCTAATGTCGTGTGTGTATACACGTGTGTCACACACACACACACACACACACACACACACACACACACACACACACACACACACACACACACACACACACACACACACAACACAGCAACACGACATCGACCGACCCGCCTCCGCGCACACTACAGCACGACACCAGCACAGCCACACCCACACACAGCACACACAAACAACAGGGCGCCCGACCCCCGGTCACATAGTATATATATATATATTAGTATATATATATATATATATATACATATATTTATATATATATATGCGCGCGTGTGTGTGTGTCTGTGTATGTGTGTGGGCGTGAACATAGGCGCATAAATAACTAGACAGAGGGCACTCACGGAGAGTGCATACCTCCGCGAGCATGTAACATGTATGTGCTCGCTGGTGGCGGCTGCTGACTGACTCGCCGGCTGCTGACTCGCCGCTCACTGGTGGCTGCTGCTGACTCGCCGCTCGCTGACTCGACTCGCTATCGATCGCGCCGCGCGGACTGGACACACACACACACACGAACACACACACGAACACACACACGAACACACACACGAGAGCGATTGCATGACCTCCGTTTGCGCGGAGGTAAATATTTCAGTGTCGTGTTAGGTGCATCTAATGATGTTAATTTATTGGTGTAAATGTCTGTTTGCACGCATTAATTGCATGATTTTACAATCATGCCGGGGAAATGCTTCGTGTTGCACGCACTGTAGAAATTTATTGACTATTTCAGCAGTTTTAATGTATATGAAACAATCAGAGTCACGCACGCATGCACACACACACACACACACACACACACACACACGAGCGCCCGCAGGCGCGCACACACACACGCACACACACACACACATACACACACACGAGCGCGCACACGCGCGCACACACACACACACACACACACACACACACACACACACACACACACACACACACACACACACACACACACAGGGTCACGCATCTTTCTCTGTCTCCCACTGCTGGCACGGGTACGTAACCGAACCGACGTGTTGACGTTAATCCTATACCGTTGTCATTCAGGGCCGTTCTTCACTGCGTATGCGATTTGCCTGCTTGTCATCGGCCTGCCTATGATCTACCTGGAGGTACTGCTTGGGCAATTCTCCAGCTCCGGTGCGCTGGGTATTTGGCGCGCGTCGCCACTATTCAAAGGTAAAATTCAGAGGTTTAACCTCCCGCGTCCATGGTCGGTGCGAGCAATGCGGGTTTGTAAAGCTGTATAGGGAAATATATCGTAGCTTTTCATTTACACCGTCTTTTAAAGTCATATTGGATTATACGAAAACAGTTCGCTTACATTATTGTGCAGTACTTGTTGTAGGACGTAAATGGAAATATCAATTTGTACAGGTAAGATTAGGAAGATAGATATTATTGCAAAAGCAATTAAGTTTGTGACAGTAGCGAAGGCTGCAACATTCCTGCAAAAATACAAAAACGGTTTAGCGGTATAATTAAAGTGATTTATTACAAAAGCTAGCCGTTTTTATTGCAAAATTCGTGTATATTTTTGTGGTTGTGATGAATTATTTGAAATAGCCATTTTTATTACAAAAGTGGAATTATCACATGTGACCTTTACGAGCCGTGGAAGTCAAATCAACGCTGTAACAGTCATTACTCACAACCTTTCTCCCGTAATATAGTCATTTCTGTTAGCAGTTGTGGTGTCTCAATTATGTAATCACACACCTTAATACATGATTCCGTTGTAAGAAACCTCATGAATTCCTATGACATCATAAGTTTAAATTGTCGCAGCTTTTGAATTGAAGTGTCATGCAAGAAGTTGACATGTGCCATGACGTGACATTTTGACTTGACATTGTGACGTCGTAACTGTTTATAATGTTTCTGACAACGGGCTCCTGCATTATATGCATTACATTCACTAAACACGCGCAAATCTAGTTTTTTTGTTCTCGCTTTTTTTATCGATGTGATGCATGACTCGCTCACCCGTATCATGTCTCTGACGTCATCAGTGACGTCACCGCGGCTACTACTACACATGTACGCGGGCAATCAAAACGCTCTGAAAGTACACATGCATCGTTATATATAGAGAAATAACTATGTAGAGAGGTGACACCTAGTGTTAGCCATCGAATAAGAATGAAAATGAAAAATCTGTGAAATTTCGCATAAAGGCTTGACTGTATCCTTAATTCGATTTCCCCTCCAGGTGTGGGAATATGTATGCTAATCCGATCGGCGCTGTTGGTGGTGCGTGAGAGCGGAGTCGCCTGCTACACTACCTACTACATGTTTCTCTCCATGTTCCGCACTCTGCCGTGGTCCGGATGCGACAACACGTGGAACACTAAACGTAAGCTGGCTAGCTCTATCCGTGTAGCTCCCGCTACAGGGATATACGGGCAACAGCTTTACCTGTGTAGTACATTTGCTTCCGCTACATGCAGGGATATACGTACAACGTAGCTCTACCAGTGTAGCCTTTCGCTCCCGCTACAGGGCTATGCAAACAGCAGAGCTCTAGAGGTATAGCCCTTCGTTCTCGCTACAGGCCTATGTGAACAGCATAGCTCTACCCGTGTAGCCTCTTCGCTCCCACTGCAGGATTATACGGGCAACATAGCTCTACCCGTGTAACCCTTCGCTCCAGCTACAGGGCTATGCGAACAGCATAGCTTTACCTGTATGACCCTTCGCTTCCACTACACCCTTCCCCCTCGTTACAAGACTACACGGGGAGAACCAAACGTAAGTAGGCTCATTTCGTCCGTGTATCGGCTAGCAGAAGTTTGAAGCTCTGGGCTTTGAAGAGTACGCGCAGTGGCCAAAGTAAACTACGAAAGGTCAATCCAACTATATAAACAATCCATTATAATTGCGTATAAAAGCCATTACTCGTTATTAAAAATACGTCTCTAGTTCGTGGGATTCAATCGCGATTAAAATCGGAACTTATGATGATGGCAACGATGGCTCTCCAAAGCAAAAAGCCGCGAATGCATTCGCATGAGACTAGTATAATATATAATATATACATACATATAGTAGTAAGTCTGTGCAATATTTCCAAGGGCGTCTAGCCTGTTGTAAAATTAATTCCTTTTATCGAAACGGTTGTGTACATTTTTATCATAATGGCATTATTGGCATGATTAGGGCATGATATGGCATAATACGCATTTATTCGTGAAAGCACGAGTAGTTAGTTGTGTACTCTTGATTTACATGTGCTTGCACTATTGGACGTTCACAGAGTGTTGGGAAGGTCGGATGGAAGTGAAGACATCAGAAGGAAACGTCACGTCGGCAGCAGCCACTACAGACGATTTATTCAGATTAGGATCCGTGAAAAGCTCGCCCGTGGAAGAATATTTTCTGTAAGCCCGGCACGCACGCACGCACGCACACACACTCACGAATTATGAATCAAATAAGCACATTGGATTTCATAATAATATCAAGAGTAATTTTCTTTTGTGATAAATCCATAAAATTAATCTGGTAGCAACAGTTTTGACAAAGACAACTAGACCAGTTCTCGTAACTCTAACTTGTTAACTTGCTAACAAGTTAGTTTACACGGATTTACAATATAATGAAATTACAGGTATGGGGTACCCTGCAAGCTAGGGCGTCGTACCATCTTTCACCAGAGCTATTAATTTACGATGGATATGTATAACTGAATCGCGCTTTGTCGACGTCTCGTAGCGAGTATCCTAAATTTTGACAAACCCAAAACTCTACTCTAGTAAAAACTTGCCGTCAATGTATACGATTTCTAGTCATCGTAACTAAACGTAGGTAACACATAAGTTAACAAATCGTAACACACGGATCAATATCATTCCTCAGGTCACATGTGGATTCGGGGAAGCCTGACCCGGCGCTGGGAATTCCCCGACCATGGATCGTCGCATGCCTAGTGATGCTTTGGTCGCTGATATTCGTTTGCCTGACGTGGGGCATCAAGTCACTTGGAAAGGTATCGCAGTAAGACCTTCGTATCAACCTCCGAATATTCTTCTCGCTATCGCCGTGATGATTCACTGGCATATTAACGCACCGAGAAAATCTCCCGAAACGCACAAGGAACAGATGAGAAACATGCAAGGCGGAGAAAGCCGCATTTGAAGCGACGATTGGCCAAAAAAAGCAGCGGCAAAAAACAACATAAACACGACGTATTTAATACTCGTACTTATTCACTAAAGTCTTTACCTTTGTCACGCCTTGTCGTTATTCAGGTGGTCTACGTTACAACCATTTTACCCGTTGTGCTGCTGGGCACCTTGCTGGTGAGAGGTGTTACCCTGCAAAATGGCGGCCAGAGCATCGCCGCCATGTTTGCAACGAGCGCCCTCGCCGATACGGACGGAGAACTCGGCTATTTGGATCACATAATAAACTACGAGGTCAGTGTGAGAACTCGTACACCCTTAATAAACTGCAAGGTCAGTCTGAGAACACGTACAGCATTAATAAACTACAAGGTCAATCTGAGAACCCGTACACCCTTAATAAACTACAAGGTCAATCTGAGAACACGTACACCCGTAATAAGCTATGAAGTCGGTCTAGGAACACGCACACCCTTAATAAACTACAAGGTCAGTCTGAGAACACGTACACCCTTAATAAACTACAAGGTCAATCTGAGAACACGTACACCCGTAATAAACTATGAAGTCGGTCTAGGAACACGCACACCCTTAATAAACTACAAGGTCAGTCTGAGAACACGTACACCCGTAATAAACTATGAAGTCGGTCTAGGAACACGCACACCCTTAATAAACTACAAGGTCAGTTTGAGAAATCGTACACCCTTAATAAACTACGAGGTCAATCTTATTACACTCACTATACACTTACATCCCTAACAAACTACAAGGTCAGTGTAAGAATATGTACACCCGTTTGTTTTTTACATGGCTGATTTTGTCGACATGCCAAGCGTAGCAGCTGCTTCTTGTTTTAGCCGTAAAAGGATACCGTTCCGTAAATAAATCCGTACGTTTATTAGGAACCGATTCGTGATCGTTTATATTGGGCAGCGATACGTCACCTGTTGTGGGGTTACTGACAGCAACAGCAGCGGTAACAGCAGCAGCAACAGTAACACTAGCAGCAGCAGCAGCAGCAGCAGCAGCAGTAGTAGCAGCATGTGTGTGTGTGTGTGTGTGTGTGTGTGTGTGTGCGTGCGCACGTACGTGTGTCTGCATGCATACGTGCGTGCATACGTGCGTGCGTGTGCGTGCATACGTGCGTGTGTGTGCGTGCATACGTGCGTGTGTGTGCGTGCATACATGTGCGTACCTGCCTGCATGAAAAGCGCTAGCAGTGTGCGTGCGCGACTCCCTCCCCTCCCCCTTCCTCTCCTCCGCCGCTAACCCCTCCCCCGTCTGTCTGTTGCAGCTGTGGTACGTCGTCGGCAGCATGGTCATACAGAGCCTCGTGCTCGGCTACGGAGTCTACGCGGCGATGGCGAGTCACGGCAGCTTCACGCACAGCTGCCTGCGCGACAGCGTCATCACAGCGCTATGGAGCTTCGCCATCAACATCTGCTACTCCGTCGTCATCTTCTCCTACTCCGGCTTCTACGCGCTCGTCTGGTCAAAGGACGTGTCGGCCGCGCATTACGGAGGTGTGTGTGTGTGTGTGTGTGTGTGCGTGCGTGCGTGCGTGCGTGCGTGCGTGCGTGCGTGCGTGCGTGCGTGCGTGCGTGCGTGTGTGTGTGAAGCAGTAGAATCCGGATCCGGAGTGAAAAAGTGCGGGGATTGCTCCACTCAGCAAAATTGCGGGGCCCACTGACCTTTGACCTCATTCAATCTTATTTCCACCTATCAGCGCGCACCGTTCTCTTACGGGTCGACAGCGAATCCCGAGTTTCTCCGGTATGTAAACGACCAGGAGCCCGCATCAGCAGTAGGTGCCTCGTCGTGGTAGGCTGCAAGTACTAGCGAGTGCATCTTTTCTTTATAAATTGAACGACATTGACAATGGAGACAGTGGGGAACTACCAAGTATAAAGATTTGTATATATAGTCGACAAGACGTTAAAGGATTTTTCTTCGCCCTCCCACCGCCCCCAAAATGTCAAACTGATAAACAAGCAACAAAACAAATAAGGAATAACAATTCTGATTCACCTTACGTTTAATTCCGCTCGCATTGAAATAATTGTATATAATATTTTTTGTTTTCGCAGACTACTTCTACATTTTCAAAGTGATTCCGGACGTGATCAGTCGGATAGACGTCGGCCATCTGTTTGGAATCTGTTACTTTCTTATGCTCACGCTGTTCTTCCTCAGTACGATACTCATTCTAGTCGCCAATATAGAGACATCACTCTGTGATCAATTTTCCCAGGTATGCTTTTTCTACATGGGTTACTCACTGATTATTTCTTTGAAATTAAAACACCGATCGCATGTCGTGGGGATATCCGTCTGTGTGGAATGAATCGCGAATGTGGCTGTAGATAACTGGTTGTGTGGCGTGGTGTGTCCGTGTGGTGGCATATGTTGCAAGCTTCCACCCTATTCTGACTTTTGAAGCCAGCCCATATTATGACGCCATTTCCTCGTATGTTATGAATGTTGACGTGCAAATTTTGTTTACGTTTGAATATTATGATTAGTTGTGATATGTAATGTATTACCCTGTATGTGGCATCATCACATTTGCAGCCACCCTCTATTGTGACGTCACCGCCATGAAGGTTATGAATGTTGACCTGTAAATTTAATTAACGTTCGTTTAGTATTTTACCTCATGGGGTAACCGCCCTTTTTTTAACCACCCTGTGCAACGATATCACATCTGCGATGGTTATAGATATTGATATATAAATTTATTTATTCCATGTTAAAATATTACAATTAACTTTGTTCATAACAAGTATATTTACTCTATGTGGGGTTTTATATTCAGGCACTGGGTACATTCCGAAGGCGAGTGATTTTCCACGCAACAATATGTTGTACATTGCTCATAGCTGGACTGCCAGTGACAACCGACGTGAGTTACTATAATTTTATCAATCGTATTTATCACTATTACACCGAATGTCTCCGGCGTTGATAGATTGGTTCGCAGTTGTCATTAATTCTCGGTATATCAATTACTGTGTTGTAGAGGACAGAGCCACCTTGACCGCCTAGACAACAATTTGTTATCTCACTTATCAAATACTACATGCTTTTGACTTTCAATCCATTTCTAGTCCATCGTTCGATCTTTTAAATTTTGACTAATTGATACGAATTCTATGAGAGCAGGGAACAAGCCGAACTTAACATTTTTTACTGTCACGTATTTCAGAATGGATTCAGGGTTGTAAGCATAATACAACGCTTTGAAGGCAGGTGGCAGGGACCTCTCTTTCTCTGTCTTCAGTGCATTGCATTTGCAATGATTTACAGTAAGCAAAATTTTATTCTTGAGTGTATCTTAACAGATGCGTTTATCTTAATATAAACCAGTTTGTATTTAATGTACAACTAATACCGTGTATTTATATTTCTTATTTACTTTTAATACTGTTCGACTAAACGCAAATGAAATTCGTGCTGGCACTTATCAAAACCATCATCACGCATCGGCATCTTGCCATTATATCTGAAATTATTATCATCCTAATAATCATCTTAATTCTAATCGCTGTTGTTGTCTACGCCTTTGTTGTTATTGTCGTAATTACCCTAATAATTTTCTCTTCCATTTGATTCCTCTGTCCTTTATTTATCTTTACCACTCTCGCCCGCTTTCCCTCTCTCTCTCTCTCTCTCTCTCTCTCTCTCTCTCTCTCTCTCTCTTTGTGTTTTTCTCTCTCTCTCTCTCTCTCTCTCTCTCTCTCTCTCTCTCTCTCTCTCTCTCTCTCTCTCTCTCTCTCTCTCTCTCTCTCTCTAAATAGGTATAATATTTCATTAACTTTTATGTATTGGCAGCAAGGGGATCATTTAGGTCGATTTAGGTCAACATCGTGTTTTTTCTCGTTTAGATTACACTTTCTGTGGTCCACGTGCGATATATCAAATAATCAAGCAGATGCTTGGACGCAGACTTGATCGTAACATCATCATGGACATTCTCTGGGTGTCTCTTACACCGATGGTGCTATTCGTAAGTTCGCGTGTTCCTGCGTAGCAAACATACATGTATTATGTGTATTATGTGTGTGTTATATGTATTACGTATATGCGTGATTTACGAGAACAGGTGGTCATACAAATACGCAGAACATTACGTGTTCTACTGCGGAAATTGTTATACGCATATGTCCCCTCTTCGAGTTGATATGTGTGTTAATATAATAGTATGCCTCACAATTCGAATTTGCAATTAGTAACATTGAAATGTATCGACATATACGCCTTATACATATAGGTAACACACACACACACACACACACACACACGCACGCGCACGCACGCACACACACACTTATTTATTTATTTATTTATTTATTTATATGCTCAATGTCAACAGTTATAGCGTGTTTATCATTGGTTAGAAAACCTGTTGCAGTTGCTGGTGTTTGCCACGTGGTGGTTCTGGGCGGAACAGGACTACGAGTTGTGGCACACAAGAACGCTGGAAGAGAAGGTGATCGAGATAGTCTTCTACGCTGTTACGAGTGGCTTCATCCCACTGTGGGCTCTTATGTGGTCACTTTACTGCCTAATCATAGGACCTGGTTCATGTTGTGAGGTGAGAGTTTTACAAAGGTTACCTTCTACATTTGGTGGATGCTTTGTTTAACATGGTGAACATGCTGGTTTATCGGAAATGATTTCAAAATTTAATGGCTTAAATTTTGATCTTGAAATTTATTTTGATCTCAATAATTATATATCTTCACTGCATAGGGGTTTAATATTTCTAACCATATCCAGGCACAAACATTGATAACTTTTGTAGACGCTCTACAGGAATAGATTATGATTTTTGCCATCTTAATTTGTTGCTGGTAATTATTTTATCATAAATGTTGACACGATGTAAGGAAATAATTGTGAATATAAAATATAAATCTAGATGATTGTAATAGTAGACCCCAAACCCTGGGAATCACTCTTCTAAAATAAAGACAGAGAAAACTAATAAGTTCACATTGGTTATTGATAGAACTATAATTTACACGAAGTCGATAACGATAACTAGATAAAGTAAACAATGAAATAGGCTAACCCCCGTGTGCTTGTGTTTTTTACGGATCGGCTATTATGTTCAGTTGAAAGGAAGCGAAAAGAGCCCAAAATTTAAACATTTTCTCATACAATCCGCAGTGTTGATCTGACAATTTCATCAATTTTGGCTCTCTTCTTTTTCGGACGAGTCTCTTTTGCTATGAATAATATTTGTTATGAGGTTGTCTCTGAATTCTCAAATGATCGACTGGATTTTGGTCGGATGGCCACAGATAAATCAACCGAGCCGATGCTCTAAAAAAACAACTATTATAATCATAGAAATATATACAGTCTAACTAGTATATTATTTCTATGATTATAATCACTGTCCGTACTACTAACGCCATCTAGTGGGCAACAGCGTTGCAGATTGTGACAACTAGCTGTATAATTATGATAACATATCTCTCTCTCTCTCTCTCTCTCTCTCTCTCTCTCTCTCTCTGAATGTCAATGCAATGTCAGTGTTTAATGTAATGCTGGTGGTCATGTCATGTAATGTAATCGTAACGCCTGGTGGTTATTATGGTAATGTAATGTAAATGCTGTGTCATTTCATGTTAACTGGTAATGTATGACTGTGGGCATGTAATGTAATGGTACATGGCTACTGTGCATGTAATGTTATATGTAATGTAAATGCCGGTGCTCAATGTCCATCATGTAATGTAATACAGGAGTGGAGAATAATAGAAGATCTTCTATTATTGCTACTCCTGATGTAAATGTTTAAGATAAACTATAATGTAATGCACAATGTAATTTTTACATTTAAACTTTTAAAAATTTTAGTGAATGGTAATGCTGTAATGGTTTGTTTGCGTCCGAGCCGTAACGCAAATAACCTGGTGAACATGTCATAGTGTGTACTCATATATAGGGAATGGGTGTGCGCGTGTGCATGGCAAGAATAGTTGAAGCAGCACATCTTATCGAGGTAAGAAGTAATAGTGATAGGCAGGTGCGCTCTTGTTTAATGTATGTGTTTGTAATATAATGAATTATCCTGCGCGCCACAGTGTATTTTATCCGCTACAACTCACAAGTCGCGTACACTGCGACATTTTCACGGTTATATATAATATGTAATCAGTTAATTCAGCGATCATCACTGGATACACAAGAGTGAATAAAAACATTTGTCTTTATTCACTCCTGATGTGGATGAATTACTTTCGCGGTACATTGCTAGCCCTGCATCGCGATATAAAGCGCCGTGCGAGTACG